TTTTCGCAATTCTAGAACTCGTAGAGCACACAAAGACCACCATTAGACTCCCCGTGACGAGCTGCATCGAATGGATACCCATTTTATGCAAAAATATCAACTTTGAAATTTGACCTAATTTGACCTGACCTTGACCTGACCTTCACCAAAACGTGACCTAGGCTGGCCCCAAAGGCTGCCTAACCCACATAATCGCATTTGTCATGTAAAATGGACCATAAAACATGTATCACACGACACATTCATATTGTGACCCCCGGTGACCTGACCTCGCTGTGACCTGACCTGGTATCAGTGACCTCAAATAGCAAAGTATGTGTTTGACGAACAATATACCATCGATGGTTTTCAATAAATTACCAATTTACTCGATTTCACAGCACATTTCTTGAATTGCCTGTGAACGGTGAAAATCTGACCTTTGACCTGACCTGTGACGTCATCGGTTTGACCTAGGTCAATGAAATTTGGTCACAAGGTAGTTCCCGGGTAGGGCTATCAAACGCCGTTTGAATTTTGAAAATCGGCCGGTAACTTTCCGAGATCTTAGGGGGGGGCCGAAACGGCCCCCCCCCCCCTACGGGTGGTAGGGTCCGCCGGTAGCCCTACGGGGCGCGGGTTAATGCATGTGCTAGGTTGCGATGATAACGCGCTAAGAGAGCCGAAAGGATTCATACCCTACGAAGTGAGTCAAATGGAACAAATCTTCACCACTCAGGTTAAGCGTTGTTGAATGACATAGAATGCCAGAAAGTACGGCGGTATTTGGTTACTGTAGTATGTGCACTGCAGCATAAAATGTGCCTACATGATAGCCGTCTTCACAACGGCCATCTGGTACACATTTGGTGCACATCTGGTGCAGATTAGGTGCAGATTTGGTCAAATTAGGTTCAGTGTGTCTCTTAGTAGTTAGTAGCTATCAGCTAGGGTTGCACTAATTGCCTATATGCCTGCTTTGTCATATTATCAGAGAGTATCATCGATTAAAACACTGACATAAATTCATAAAATAAAGATATGTAAGATGGTAAAGAAATTGATCATTAACATGGCACAAATGTATTATTTTAGCAATTGAAAAGACCGAAATACAGAATAAGCTTTCGCCGCTAAGGCATCATCAGATTCTAAGTATTTTTAAAAATACTTAGAATCTGATGATGCCTTAGCGGTGAAAGCTTATTCTGTATTTCGGTCTTTTCAATTGCTAAAATAATACATTTGTGCCATGTTGATGATCAATTTCTTTCCCATCTTACTTACAGTAATCATGGCAAAAAAACACCATCCACTACATTAAATAAAGATATTTGCTGTAAAAGAGATTAGGTGCAGATTTGGTCAAAATAGGTGCACTCGTCGGATAGCCCGTTGTGAAAACGGCTAATACCTATGTGTAGCAACGCATCATGCCGCCTTTCTTTATTGTTAGGTACATAGGTATTTAGCGACACAGTGCCATTTGATTGATGCTATAGTGAATGTGAAACAGTGCACACTCACAGTGAAAGCAAACGAACCGGGCGATGGCTTCTAGTGAACTGCTGTTCATCAGAAGGAACGGAAGTCTGATAGCGTGCTTGGTGCAACAATTCGTGATCGGAGACGATGATTCATGCTATTATTATAAGATAATTGTAGGAAGCATTGTATTTGTTCAAAAATCTGTTTTGTTTAGTGTAGAAAGGAGCAGAACACTGATTCCTTTCCTTCTGTCGTAATGTTGACACATCATTGAAGCCTTCACACTAAACACTTTCCTATTATTCAATGAATAGGAAATTTACACTAAATTTATGCTCATAGTGCGTACTTAAACGTAGGTATTAAATGCTACCGGAAGCCGCTTACCAAGGGACGAACTCCCTTAGAAATGCGTAAAAATACAATGAAGTGCAACAGGCGCAACAGGCCATCCTTTTGTTTAGTTTATTATTATTTGTTTATTATCACCAAGACACCCACAGGCACAAAGAGCCCACTTACGGATGCAGTCACATAGCTAAAAAGGCAATCGACAAAATGCACGAACACATGCATAAAACTGAAAACAGAGGCTGTAGTGTAGGTATTCAATCAGCCAATGTAGCTGCCCAGAGTATGGGCGTACGTCAAAGCCTCACTCCGAAATGATGCAGACGGGTGGTAAAAGTCTACGGAGGGACTATGCGTCAGGAATTCGTTGCACACAAGAGGGATGCGCGCGGTCAAGCTGTTCTTCACAGTGCTCACTCTCCCGAATGGAATGTGAAAAAGGCCGGTGCGACGGTTGCGCCTCCCCGGTACACTCAAACCAAACATGGAGACCAGGTGAGCACTGTCAATACGATGATGAAGCACACTGTACAATAACATGATATCGGCATGAACGAGGCGAGCTTTAATGGAATCAGTGTTAAAATGCTGCAGTAAGGCACGATAGTCTAGAGAGGGACAGCGTCTCTGGGTCTTCGCCGCTAGCCACATAAGGAAGCGGTGCTGTAGCCGTTCCAATCGTGCAAGATGGGTTACGGCGGCCCCACTCCAAACCACGCTACCGTACTGGAGGACGGACCTGACATGCGCGTTAAAAACGCTCAACATCGCTTTGTACTCGAAGCGTGCCGCACGAGGACAGTCCGGCATCTGCATGCTCCTCATGAGAAGCCCAAGCATCCGATTAGCCTTTGACATGGTGTAATCGACATGATGACAAAACGTGAGCTTGGAGTCTAATATTACGCCTAGATCACGGATCTGACTACACCTTTCAAGCGAATGGCCATCCAAGTTGTACACAGCGTCAACAGGTGACGTACGAAGGGTAAAAGAAATGAATTTACACTTAGATGGGTTAACACGAAGTCTCCACGTGTTCGACCAGAGGTGGAGGCGGTCAAGGTCAGCCTGCAGGGAAAGGACATCGGCGGGACTGCTGATGCGGTGGTAAAGCTTGAGATCATCAGCATAAGCAATGCAGTTGGTCTCAATGTGGTGAGGTATATCGGCCACATAGCACGCAAACAGTAAGGGGCCCAGGATGCTGCCCTCTGGGACGCCCGACTGGACAGGAATCCACTGTGAGCGTTTCCCATTGAGGACTACTCGCTGTGTCCGGTTCCTGAGATAGGAGCAGAGCCAGTCATAGGCGACACCAGATATGCCAAAGGAGTGATGCAGCTTGTGCAGGAGTAGGGTGTGGTTCACGCTTGTGAAAGCTGAAGAGTAGTCAGTATAGACTGCGTCAGTCTGCTTTCCTCTCGCAATCGAGGACCAGCAGTGATCAAGGAAACAGGAAAGGTTGGAGACGCAGGATCGGTTTGGAAGGAAGCCGTGTTGGGAGGATGGCAGGGCAGGTAAGCAGGCGGGTAACAAGCTCTCCGAAACCACCTAGCTCTCCGAAACCACCTCCGAGCAGATAAAGATAACATTTATTCACAAACAAACAGGTAAAGATGATGACGGGGGACATGCTCAAATTACATTTGGTCGTGAATATCTTCGTAATGTGATCTTTTAATAAACATTATGGTCGTCACGCTTTGACGTAAGTTCTCTGATACATCTGTTGCCTGGTTTCGCATTACCTCGTTGGGGAACCGATGACGATGACCGTCACGCAATGTGGCTAGCCACGGCGGTCACATTGAAAAGTTGACAAACAAACTGCCAGTTTCCTGCGACCATCAAAGTCCCGGATGTGGGACTCTGTTCTGTTTAAAAATAGGTTGGCGCCGCACACAGGAGTATCGGTTTCACTATGGGCCGTCGACATTCCTGCCCATGCTCACGAACCTCACGCCTCGACAGGTGAAGTATAGTGTGTTATGCTCTGCAAAAACGGCCCATTCTGTTTAAATAAATGTTACAGAGAACCCAAATGCAGCTGATGATAAGTATGTACGCATTTAAACAGTTCAGAAGAAATAACCGAAATAGCTGTCTTCTTCGATTCAGGTTCAGCTTTGAGACGTTAGTGTCCAATGTCCATCACTTTAACATATGCACATTTTGTATAAAAAGTTTCCTTTTTTATTAACAGCTGCACACCATTAAGCCCTTTTCGGTTGGCCTTTTTTCAAGGGAGTAATAAAACATGAACAAAAAAGAAAAAGAATATAGACGACATCTGTACTACTTTCAAGAAAATAACTAATATAATATTCATTGGTGCTGCCAAGTGTCATTTGCGTGCACTAAACGTATCCGGCCTCAGTTTGCTTGGCAGCTTAGTTTCTATGCTTAGCGTCTCAAGATGACGGAATAAAACGCTCAAATTTAGTGTTTGTTAGTGCATGGTGTCTGCTCATGACGTGGTTCATCATTTAATCCGCCGATCCAATTAAACATTTGTTATGTATGTAAATTTGAAATGTGGATTCAAGTGCATTCAGCGGTGGGATTAGGAATGGTTGAATACGAAAAATATTTTCCTGGAAAATTGATGCTACGTTATGAAACATGTTATCGCGCAGTCAGAGGCGGATCCAGCTCAGAGGTTTGGGGGGGGGGGGCAAACCATAAAAATTTATCGATTCTTTCCATGCATCGTCCATAGGCGTAATGTTAAAATCATGCCGTTTGGGGGGGGGGGCAAATGCCCATTTTGCCCCCCCCCCCTGGATCCGCCACTGCGCGCAGTGGTATTTTCCTCTCATCATTTTATTAGGTAATTATGTGGTGCGTAAGCTGCCTAAAACAAAGCGACCACGCTATGTCTTCCCACTATGTAGTTTCTATTCCCTCTTTAGTTCCTTTTCTAGGTGACGTTTTAATCCACCCAGGTATACTATTATCTATCAACTGCATCAATGACACGACGTCGCGTGCAATCAAAAACTGGGCAGCGCTTCCACCAAAATATGCTATCGCCGGCGATCCGACCATCACTTTCCTGCTGGCCGCTGCCGCCATGCAATGGTCAGCTTTCGACTGGTTTTCACCATGCTCTGACGTCCATTTTTTACCGGTGGCACCGAAAAACTATAAAGCCGCCCTTTCCCGAGCCGACCAGGTTTGCACCGTTGCACCGCTTAAAGGTGTCCCCGAAGCCGGCGGCTCGCAGTCCGCTGGAAGGGCCGCTAGCGCGCGAGCAGTCGCGCCCGAGGTCAGTGAGGAGCGCAGCGCAGCGGAGCCGCCGTCCGATCCGGCACCATGCTGCCGTGGTGGTACGTCATCATAGTGCTGCAGTTCTGGCCGATGGACGCGCCGTCCTATCTGTGGAACTACGACGAGCCGGAGCTGTGGCAGGAGACGTTCCCGCTGTGCGACTCGCCGCTGCAGTCGCCGATCGCGCTGACACGGGACCGGATCGCCTACTCGCGACCGCCCAAGCTGGTGCCCGGAGACGGTCTGGCCGAGGGTGAGGTCACGGCCATCAACACGGGCCGGCGCATCGAGCTGCGACTGGCGCCGGGCAACGCCAGCCAGCCGGCCATCCAGCTGGTCTCCTACAAGAAGCCGCTGTTCGGCGTGTACACCCTAGAGACGATCGACCTGCACTGGGGCGACGCCGGCGGCACCCACGGCTCCGAGCACGCCATCAACAAGGAGTTCTTCGACGGCGAGGCTCAGTTCGTCTTCTACAACAACTTCTACGAGAGCATGGCCAAGGCGCGGCGGCATCCGGGCGGCATCGCCATCGTCAGCGTGCTGCTGAGCGGGTCCTCCGCGGCGGCGGGAGAGGCCGCGTTCCCCTCTCTCGGGCTGGAGCAGCAGCTGGACGCACTGGCGGCGCGCGGCAGCGAGGTCACCTTCGCTGCCGACCTGACGCCCGTGCACGGCCTGCTCAGCAAGGCGCTGACTCGCGTGCTGGCCTACTACGGCAGCCTGACCAGCCCGCCGTGCAACCCGGTGGCCACGTGGCTCGTGTCGGCCGAGCCGGTGGACGTCAGCACCCACCTGCTCTACGACCTCGCCACCAAGGTGTACGAGGACAGGCAGAAGCAGAAGCGGCTGGTGAACAACTGGCGGCCTCTGCAGGACCGCAGCGGCCGACTCGTCACGCAGCTGGAGAACACCAAACCCTGAGCGGCGACCGCCGCCGCCCCTTCCTCTGGGGCACCGGCGACTGACGCCTCCGGCCCGACGAAACTCGGACCTGACACTGCCGAGACTCGAACCCTGGTCCGCCGCGACATGTGCTCGGCTTTGTCAACAGTCGGTTTTCATTTGTTTGCGCCCTGAGATGACCCCACAAATAACGGGCAGTCGCAGATACAGGGTGCAAAAATCTGAAAGCTCCTGGGCCCGAGGGCTAGGCACGAAAGCAATAATAGCAGATGCCATTTAGACATGCTGCAATGGCCAATTCGTATCGAGACATTATCCGGCGTTAAGCAATGAATTGATATGAATTGAATTGATAGGGACGCTGCTAGATGTTATTTGAAGGCACACTGATATGTAGACATACAAAGATAAGGGATGGGTGTGTCGGAATGAAAATCTGCTCGATAACAGTGTGAAGTATCCGACGCGCACGAGACGTCAGTCGCTGCAGGAGGGTGTTGTCGTTGTATACCTATATGATGATAAAAGACGAAAAATATATCATAATAATGACAGACGACTATGATTTCACTACAAAAAAATGAACAACCCAATATAGCGGTGTAACAAAATGCCGTCATTTTGTTTACTCACAATATCCTCATCCCATGCACTCTCAAGTGCGCTAAGCCTCTGCCAACAATTCTTCATACATGGCCTTAACAATATCGCGAGCTGTCGTGTTCTGAAAGATCTCCTGCGGGCGATACCCGAACAGGAACAGGTCCTGAGGGTGAGGCTCCCATGACCCATGGTGCGGGCCAAAGAAAATATTATATGTGCTTAAAAAATCACTTCCAAAACCAGCACAGTCTGTTTTGTGACTGAATGATGAGGAGAGAAGGATTGGACGGCACCGAACCCAGGCAAGCGTAAATTAGAACGACTCAGATAGGTACTCAAACAAACGCTATCTTTAAAAGTTAACTCGACACGCCACGCTACCCATGGTAGTTAAATCACAGCCGTAAGTAAAGATAAGTGTGTAAGAAAATACACACGCAAACAGTTTCACACGTTTAATTTTTTTAATTTCAGAGTTATTGTCTTACGTGTGGGGAAGGGGGTGGCTGAGGACCTAGTCCGAGGTCATTCATCCCAAACTTGCCTTATTTTCATTTTTCAAATGGTAGCCCTCCAAAGTTCGATCCGCCTGCTGCTCGGAACTTCTACTGCTTCCTCTACCGAGCATAGTGCAAATCAATAATCATCATCTTCCTACATCGATAGCGTAATTACTATATTGTGGAAAGATAGTCGGGAATTGGACAGGAGTCTATCTCTCTCTCTCTCTCTCTCTCTCTCTCTCTCTCTCTCTCTCTCTCTCTCTCTCTCTCTCTCTCTCTCTCTCTCTCTCTCTCTCTCTCTCTCTCTCTCTCTCTCTCTCTCTCTCTCTCTCTCTCTCTCTCTCTCTCTCTCTCTCTCACACACACAATCCATCTCTAATTTCCACATCCATTTCTGTAGTCAATGGTTAGGATTTGCATAGTCGACAATGCATCTCACCTTGAATATCTAAAGATTGATGAACCATGTGCATTGTGCATCACTGAACAGAGAGCCCGCCATTCGGCTCGCCGTCGTACGGTATCCCACTGCAAAGTGCAAGTCACCGTGCTATAACAACGTGACACGTATCGAGAGCCGTTACTGCTCGCACGCCAATAGGTATGTGCTTTGCATATCGTGCATTATGCATATTGTCGTTGCATATTGATAGAAATGTGGCACAGAGCTGTCAATCGTGGCCACAGAACTGTGAATCGTGGCCACTGAAACTCAGCGGTCACTGACCTCGTGGCCGCTGACTCAAGCAGGACCAATGGCCGGCAACGGAGGCTGGAGTTGCCAAGCACTCTACGGTGTCCCCGTCGACAACAGCCGCTCTTATACAGGGTGTTAAAAAAGAAACGAGACGATAAAGAATCGTTATATTTCGGAAAGATATTATTATACTAGGAGAATCATGAATGTGTAATTCAAAAGAGAATTGTTGAAAAAATTTATACGCAAGAATTCGACGCTTCCATTCGCCAGGTGCTAGAAAAGCACCCCCTGGGATTATGACACTTCTCCGCCCCTGATGGTACGCCGATGTTTTTTTTTTTTTTGTCCGGCACGAATTATGACCATGCCACATGCAAACATCTCGTGCCAAAAAAAAAGATTATCTTCACAAAAAGTTAGCAAACCCATGACAATAAGGACTTTCAATAACATATTTTTTGGAAAAGACTTTTTCGAGAATGGGAGATTAATATCGATCAAACCAATGGCAGCATTGAAACTCTTGCTCGTCTCTCAACTGATTCAATAACGTCGAATGACGCCGGATGAGAGATCAAGTTTGCCAGCTTAAAAATAGTTTTTGGGGGGCACGAGATGTTTCCATGCGTAGGTAATACGTGCCCGACAATAAGAACCGACGTAGCATAAAAACACTTTCAACAACTCTCTTTTAAATGACATATAAATAATTTTCCTAGCATGATCACTCTTCGAGTTATAACGATTCTTTATCGTCTCGCTTTTTTTTTTAAACACTCTGTACTTATCAACGGAAAAGCTCGCGGGAGGTGGCACTGACACCTCATCGATTAGGTATGCTTGAAAATCGTGACGGACATCATGTAGGTGAATTTTGCAGCAGCTTTACGGTTCATCATTCCGCTGCATACGTAATGGCTATCTGATATTACCGGTAGTCGGTTCGGACCGGACCAAGAGGTGGCGTGGGTCATCGTCCTGAACTCCTGACCGCATTCTAGACTCGCGGCAGGATACCGGAGAGGGCAGATAACTTTTCTTTTTGCAATATACACATATCGGTCAGGGCATTTTAAGACTGATTGGCACAAAGTGACCTCAACTCACCTAACGAATGCCGCGAGAGTTTTGCACGATGAGATCGGTGACAGTGAGGGACTAGGCATTACGGCATTATCGAGTTGACTCACATTATTATTAGTACATACGCGTATTGTTATAAATTGGAAAGGCAATGGGAACATGCTGTTTTTATACTGAAATTGGTTACACATGTGTTTCGGGAATAATCCCTCGATCACACAATATAAAATAGCTATATATCCAAATGCAATCGAGGTCGAACGAGGTTGTACGAGGTCGAACAGGGCTACGTTCGACCTCGATTGTATTTCGATATAGCTATTTTTATATGGCCTGTGATCAAGGGATTATTCCCGAAACACATGTGTGACCAATTTTAATATAAAAAACACGTTCCCATTGCCTTTCTCTGACTGGCGTTAGCTCAAACCGTATAATGGAGATACATGTAGCTCAATCCGTTTAATGGCTAAGGACTGGTACTGGTGGCCTGCGTAATGGAGAGCACGAGCACAAAGGAAGACAGCTGTCCAGCTGCAATATAAACCCAGCTTGTTTCGCATGTGAATTTAAGAAATCTGTTGTAAAGTACATATGTAGACATGGCCGAATAAGGTAATCGATAAAGTAAAATTGACAAATAAAAGTAGGTATATTATAAAAACCGTCGAACATCAATAAGACAAATAAAGCAATGTTAGCTGCGCAGTTGTTCGTTCGTATCTCTCTGTCACGACGGTCACGACCTAATTGCACATTTTTATAGATCTCGTGATAAAGCATGAGCTACTTTCAACACAACGTACCTCTCATATCTAAACAAAAGAAATGCAAAGAAATGCACACGTCCTACACCATACCCTTCTTCAAAACAATATCCTCCCCGTATAGGCCAGATGATCCAGTAGAGAAAATACATTGCTTCACTTGCTACTCAACGCTTCAGATAGTCTAACAACAATTGATGCGAAGAAGAAGGCAGGGGGAAACAACACCGTGGCACCTATCACCTATTGCGAATTCTACTGACAAGACGAGGTGAAGCTAGCACACGACAGCGCGTAGCGCGCTGTACGGTTGTATGTACCAATACCAGGCGGCCGACCCGGACACAAGCTTTTAGACCATGGTCATGCCAGAGAAATAAGCGTGAGGGATAGCGTGCCGACAGGAATTACAGCCAATTACGCAGTAACATAGGCGAGCGACACAGGGCAGAATCACACAACGCACGGACCGCACTATTCTAGGCACTGCATTGCACTAAGACTATCACCAGGATCTCGCACAGACTAACGCTGCTGCTCCGCTTACGGCACAACCTGCGCCGCAGTGAGGGCGGCGCCTGCACAATCAGTCTCGAGGCACCTACCATCAGTCCCACCGCGGGCGGAGGCAATCACTGCATCACTGAGCTATAGCGTTCGCAGCAACTGGTCGCAAAGGCCGCACGAAATCCACACCGAGACGCTTCATCCATTAGGCGCGAGAACATGTCCGTGGCAGTCAGTGAGACGGCATCTTAGCGACGAAAGCGCGATGGTGGTGGTCTCGTCTCGTGGTCGGTGAGCGGGGAAGTCTGTCAACTGAGGCGCATCACTCCAGGGCGATACCAGAACCGAGTCCCAGATGCCAGTTACTCAGACCGCTTGCTGTCAAACGGTGCTGCCAAAACTCCTTCACAAAGCTGCAGTCAGCGGCAGCAATGCGCAATCCTTCTCTTTCAGCTCCTCTTCAGCTTCTCGTTCTGTTATTCAGCATAAATATACTTTCATGCAATCTCCCATTCTTCAAATTCAAATTATCCTTAATGTTTTCATTGTCAAATAAAAATAAACGGGATCCTTAACCGTTGCCACCAAATGAAGACATGGCCGAATAAGGTAATCGATAAAGTAAAATTGACAAATTAAAGTATACTAGAGGTACAGGTTTACGCGATAACTGTATGTTTTGATTTATGTTATGTTACGGGTGCATTTGTTTGGGTGATTGACTTGCATTTTTAGATGTATTATTTGGATAGATTTGGGCAGCTGTTTTTAATTAAACTGTAAGGGTTGGTGATAGGTGCGGAGTGTTCAAGTGTTTTGTATGTTAGGCACTTTTTGAACTTAACCCTACCCCTACCCTACCCTACCCTACCCTACCCTACCCTACCCCTACCCTACCCCTACCCTACCCTACCTTACCCTTACACTACCCTACCCTACCCTAACCTACCCTACACTACCCTACCCTACCCCTACACTACCCTACCATACCCTACCCTACCCCTACACCATGCCCTACCGTACCCTAACCTACCCTACACTACCCTACCCTACCCTACCCCTATCCCTACACTTCCCTACGCTACCCTACCCTACCCTACCCTACCCTACCCTACCCTACCCTACCCTACACTACACTACCCTACCCTACCCTACCATACCCTACAATCCCCTACCCTACCCTACCCTACAATCCCCTACCCTACCCTACCCTACCCCTACACTACCCTACCCTACCCCTACACTATTCTACCCTATCCCTACCCTACCCAACTCTTCCCTACCCTACGCTACCCTACAATCCCCTACCCTACCCTATCCTACCCTACAATCCCCTACCCTACCCTACCCTACCCTACCCTACACTACCCTAACCTACCCTACCCTTCCCT